CTGATGAAATATTCTACTTATCTTGAGTAGTGTTTCATAATGTATACCAATGAGATTCAGACCATTTACAGTTAATGAACATCATTAAACTTCATTAAGCAATTGCATTAACATGGACAAGAAGACAGGAATATGTAAGTGAAGATTTGTATAATATTGCATTTTCACAGTGAAACTGTATCATTAAGAATGATATTTAATATGGTATATATCATTAGAATTCATTAAGCATTATTCCTTTTTCATTGATACTTCAATTTGCTGATAACTTAACMCTAGATTCACCCATAATTTCACAAAATTATAATGAAACCAAAAATTACCTATCAATGTCAAGAATGACACATTTTCATTACTCATATGCATGAACCTGTTTCTACTGTTGCTTGTCAACAACTTCATTTGAACATATCGCATTTGAACCAGTTTCATTACTCACTGCCAAAAAATACCTATCGCATTTGAACCTGCCCCTATATGCATGAATCAGTTTCATTATTCATTTAGTAGATGGTAGGCATCCCTTTTTTTCTTGGCTGTTGCTGCTGCTTAACGTCTGCTTATTTTGCATCTCCCTATTCTACTCCATATCTGTTTGACTCTGATTTTCCCTTGGGTTTACATTATATGTATCAGATGCAAGCAACTATGTGAATGTTGACCATGGCTACTTAGCAAGTTCTTATTATTCTGGGATAATATCTGTATTTGTGTTGATCTCTTCGTACCTGGAAAGAGTGGCATCATCTGGAAGAACATTAAGAACTCTTGCATTTACCTTTTACAAATTGAAGTATTTCGGTTCTGTTCCTATCATTTAAATTTTTATATATATTTTCATCTTATAAGCAGATATTGTTATTAGTTGATTTTCTATTCTAGTTCTTCATGCTACGATAATTCTGATTCTTGTTCTTTTGTTCTCTTGTTCAATTTTGAGGTAATAATTATGGTGGTCATTTACTTATGTGCACAAATGAAAAGCGAATTAGTGCTTCCGCTTTTGGATACATGTCCAATACTAGTAAGTTGTAATCTTGTATCACATATGGAGTCGAATTATCTTTGACGACTATGGTTTTAATTTATACAGCTAAAACAGAATTTACCTACATTCCAGGTTAGGGCAGTGGTAATTGGTCTTGGTGCTGAGCTACTTCCCATGTTTCTCCATGAATGCATTCATTTCTCCATGTTGAGGTAATTTGGAGGGCTAAGCCAAATTACTTGTCTAGACAAAGGGTTGGGACAAAACTTCTTGTAATACATGGCTTATAATAATCCACTTGGGTACTTCTGATTCTTCAGGCGGCAGAGTTAGATCCAGTAGTTGTGGAACTTGCTCGGGACTATTTTGGTTTCAGAGAAGATGAAAGTTTAAAGGTAATTGACCAATTGTCATCACCTATTTACTTGATTGTTCTACTTTGAGTAATTGTACTACAGAACCATCGCAGTTTTGAGGGTGTGTCTCTACTCATACCTGCTAGAATTTTGTAATACATTTATTTTTATACCAATGACTTTTCTAGAAGGAAATATATGTTCAAATAGATTTTGAACCTTCAGTTGGCAAACTGTACCCGATTTGACTTTATTTCTTAGTAGATTGATGTTGCTCTTGAGACATATTGTCTCTTCATCTGGCTCAGATTTGACTTTATTCCTTAATCTTTTCTATATTGCTGTTCAATGCTATAAATAGTACCTTCCCCAGACAATTGCATCCTTTCATTTAGTACATGAGTATAATAAGAAAATGAGTTGATCGCATTTCTACTGTTTCTACTGTTGATTGTCAAGAATGAATCAGTTTCATTACTCATGTATCAGTTTCATTACTCATATGCATCAACATTTACCTATCGCATTTGAACCTGCCCCTATAAGGAAATTACCTATCACTGTCAATAATGAATCAGTGTAAGTTTGTGTAATATATGATTACCCGCCAGAAAAGCTCAACAACTAAGTCTATGATGATGGTGAATCAGAGTTGATGTTCTATGCACTGCTAGAGACTTCTTGTTTCTGCAAATATTGGCTACCCTTTTGCAAAAGGTACAAAATAGAGCCGCGTTCACCCTCCGCTTACTTTACTGAAGCCCACATATCTCCCATAATGTCCGAAAATCATGTATTACACAAACTTACATCTTTAAGACGCAAAACACAGAAATATGTTACCTGTAGAATCATGACCGACTCTCTTCTTCCCCCTCTTCTTCATTTGTTGGTTAACGAACTCAATGTCGATACCTTCATCATCGAGCTCAACTGGTCTGTCTTTGTTGTTAGTAAACTTCGAAAAACTATGCATCTCCCTCAATCTATGGCTATATCGCCTCCGACCTGTGAAAGATCAAGCGATTACAGGCGACATTGAGGTTCAAAATCACTGTTAGGGTTCTGAAAAATCGAAATCGATATGGATTAATATAACATACCTCCATTATTGCCGACCATTTTTCTTGAATATGCTGATGATCGATGATTTTGGAAACACTATATTCGATTTGGGAAGAAGAGATAGCCTTGCAGTGATTTGGGATGATTTGGGAATGCAAGCGATGAAGACGGGATTTTGATGACATATTGCAATTAGGATCTTAGGAATCGATAATTATGTTTACCATTATACCCTTATTGATTAAATAAATTGATTTTTTAATTTTTTTTTTTTTTAATTTCCATAAATAAATCCTACAAATCTTGACCATTGATCAAGAAAATGGATGGTTGAGATTGGTTCACACGGTTTACACAAACGGATAGGGTTCGCATTTGAACGCTCCTCTATATAGTTATATATATATATATATATATATATATATATATAACGAGAGAGAGTTTGGTTCAAATACTAACCAAGATTTTTGTGTTAATTTTGTTAACCAATCTTGGCCATTGATTCTTACAATAAAGGGTTGTGATTAATCATGATAAAAAATTAAAATATTAAATTTACAATTTCAAAGAACATATGTGAACAAAGGGGAAAGAATTTTTAGGTAATTTTCTTTTTTATATAACTTCTATATCATTAATTGGGAGTCATTAATTGGGAGTTACAAAATCAAAAAATCTCATTATTTTTATTAATTTATTTTTGTTAATGTAAGAACCATATGAACACACACACATATATATATATATATATATATGTGTGTGTGTGTGTGTGAACCATTGTGTCAAATACGAACAAAAATTGACATATATATGAACTTGGACTGTATAACATTTATGAATGCAATATGAATATAATAAGAATAGTTGTTACACGAAAGTAGATAAATAAAAAACAGGTATGAACACAATATGAATATAATAAGAATAGTTGTTACACGAAAGCAAATAAATAAAAAACAGTTATGAACACAATATGAACAGTTTGTGAAYRATAGTTCCTTCATTATGAACACATTCAGGAGCAAACCAATGTTGAGATWTGCAGCTAGTGTACATATGAACACAATATGAACACTTGTGAACAATTCTTTAACAATTACATATGAATTCGAATTCCGATTGTAGTCGTAGACGATTTTAACTTTTTCATTCTCATTGTTGTCGATCTGTTTTCCAATAGGTATATCCATATTACTCGTACGATATCGAAATCTTTACAATCGGAAATTCTTTAACAATTACAAAATCAATATCATTATGGATAGAATAAATCGTAATTCAAAACATGAACACGTATAAAAAAAATATCAATATTACATAATCATCAATTATTGAGATTTTTAGATTTGTAACTCCCAATTAATGATTTGGGAGTTACATAAATGACAAGTTACTTAATTACCCTTGTCATTAATATATGAGTTATATGTGAACTTAAAGAAAAGATGGAATATGATTGATTGAGTTTGGTTAACAAAGTTAACACAAAATTTTTGGTTAGTATTTGAACCAACCCCTATATATATATATATATATATATATATACGAGTTATAATGCAACTCGTTGCATTCCTATAATTCTTGCAACCAAATCAGAAGCGTTCATTTGATCAACGTTTAGCATTTAAGTGTGTTGTATTGATTGATATATAAGTACATGTCTGTGTGTGTAGGGGACCTTCTTATAAGAACCCATAAAAATAGAGATAACCTTGAGAACTTGTACATCACGTGTTATTTTATATAATTATTAATAATCTAGAACTAGGATTTAAAATATTGATTAACACACGTTTGTTTCACAATGTGCTTGTTTCACATGTATTCGGTTCACAATATGAACATTTTTTTATGTGTTTGTGAAACACAAAATACTAGTACAAAAGTTTCACATTGTGAACGAACACATATAAAACAAACATATTATAAAACAAATATATGTTAATCGATATATTAAATAGTATGTCTAGATAAATAAAATAAAATAACACATGATACATAAATTCTTATAATTATCATAATTTAATGGGTTCTTAAATGATTAAACCCCTATATATATATACATACATACTTGAGTTTAAATCAATCTGTTTTCATGAAATTCATGAGACAATATTTTTATTCTTGAAACTTCAAAATAAAATATTGTGAAAGTAACCGTCACATTGTTTTAACTACAAACCTAATATTTTAGCTATGAAAATCATATTCTTTAACATTCATAATATATTGAAACTATGAACGTGTTTTCTTTTCCCTCCCAATAAATAGGAAGCACCCTTGACCGGTGAGGGTTGTCTGGTTCCGATTTCCGAGTTAACCAACATACCTCCAGCCTCATGATCATCACATCTTCATTCTGAAATAAAAAAAACTCCATAGAATTTAGCAGATTGTGACAAATATTTCAACACGCTCCTCACACATTCCTCGTAGTAATCACTCACACATTTTTTAATCCCCTCGTCATTAAGAATTGAAAAGGGGGAAATCGAGTAATTTTTCATTTGAAAAGAGGGAAAAAAAGGGGATCAGGGTTCTTGTTTTGGCGTAGGTTAAGCTAGGAGGAATCAAAGGGTGCGTAGGATAATATGGGTATCCATTGGTGCTCTGTTATTGTCTCTGTTCTTGGGTTCTTGGTATTGGAATCAGTTTTGTTTGTTGATGGAGGATTAACCAGTAGTTTTATACGAAAAGTTGAGAAAACCATTGACATGCCTCTTGATAGTGATGTATTTCGTGAGCCTCCTGGTTATAATGCGCCTCAACAGGTATGGTTTTCCATCTATTTTGTGGCTTTTTCCCCCAATTTATTTCAATTCTTGTGTTAGTTTATCAACTATTGAATAGAATTTTGATTTGTTTTCATCAATTAGGAAACACGTTTCCAAGTTTCTTTGATTTTGGGATATATTTGATGAGTTTGTTTGAATATAAGAACCCTGATTGCAATTCGGTTCGATTTCGGGATATATATGATGGGTTTTGTTCAATCTAGGAACCCATTTTTCAATTCATTGGCATCCATTGATATAAAAACCCATTTGCATTATGCTTTCATTTTGGGGTTAATTTTGATGGGTTTTGTTTGATTCAAGAATCCCATTTGCATTATGCTTTCATTTTGGGGTTAATTTTGATGGGTTTTGTTTGGTTCAAGAATCCCATTTGCATTTTGCTATGATTTTGGGATAAATTTTGATGGGGTTTTGTTTGATTCAAGAATCCCATTTGCATTTTGCTATGATTTTGGGATTAATTTGAAGGGGTTTTTTTGATTCAAGAATCCCATTTGCATTTTACTACGATTTTGGGATTAATTTGATGGGGTTTTGTTTGATGCAAGAATCCCATTTGCATTTTGCTTTGATTTGGGATAAATTTGTTGGGGTTTTCCTCCAATTTGGGATAAGTTTCATTTAGATTAGAACCCCATTGTCCAATTGATTGGGTTGTAATGATTAAAGAACAAGAAGTTGCATTTTGGGATCTCCTTTTCTTGATCATGTTAATAACACTGAATGTTCTTTTTTGAATTTAAGGTTCATATAACCCAAGGTGATCATGTGGGGAAGGCAGTGATTGTGTCTTGGGTGACAATGGAGGAACCAGGCTCAACCACAGTTGTTTATTGGAGTGAAAACAACAAAAAGAAGTTCATAGCCAAAGGCATTGTTACTACCTACATATTCTACAATTATATCTCTGGATTCATCCATCATTGTAATATTTCTGATTTGGAGGTACTTATTTTGATGAAAACCTCTATTAATTAGTCAATGTCTCAAGTTCTTTTGATATCATTCTATCTGGGAGAGGGAGAATCAGACGAGAACAAAGTCAAAATAAGAGAACACGAGAACGGCCAAATCACATGTGATTTTGCACTGAGATCACGTGCGATCACGGAACATGGTCAATGCAAGGTGTGCGGGCAACTTGGCCCATCATGACCTTGGGTCGCGGCCAAGGTCACGTGAATCACATGTGACAAGGGATTTTAATGTAAATCACATGTGATTTAGCCGTTCTTGTGTTCTGTTATTTGGTTGTTGTTCTCGTTTGAACATTGACTCCTATAGGATCTTTACAAAATTAGGTTTCATATTGAATAATTTTGTTTATATTTGCAGTACGATACAAAATACTACTATGAGGTTGGGATTGGACATACAACGCGGACTTTTTGGTTCACAACTCCTCCTAAAGTTGGACCCGATGTCCCTTATACTTTTGGCCTTATTGGTATTGTGTTTTACAAACTTATTTTTGAATCTTCGGAGTGAACTATTTGTGCCGTTAAAAGCAGTTTACGTGTTAATGTTACAGGTGATCTTGGGCAAAGTTTTGATTCAAATGCGACACTTACTCATTATGAAATGAATCCGACACAAGGGAAAACTGTGTTGTTTGTGGGTGACATTTCGTACGCTGATAACTATCCCGATCATGATAACACAAGATGGGATTCATGGGGAAGGTTTGCTGAGAGAAATACAGCATATCAACCGTGGATATGGACCGCAGGAAATCATGAAATTGATTTTGCACCTGAAATTGTAAGCTTCCTTTGACTTTGACTTTGACTTTTACTTTTACTTAGGGGGTGTTCTGTTCGTTTCAAGTAATGGGAATGAGAATGCTTCACTACCCGGTATCTGGTAATGGTCCATTCCATTGCATCAAACCAGACACCATTAGGGTGTGGTTGGTAAGTAGATGGGACTTGACAGAACTAGAGCGACGGCACTGGACGTGCAAGAGTGAGGTAGGCGGGTGTGGAAGGTTTTAGAGTTTTAATCTGATAATATTGGTTTAGTCATATAGGTAACGGAACCTAATTTTCATTAAGAACTGGGGCACCGCCCACAATGCGACATCTGACATATTCATCAGGAATATGGATGTTTTATTCATCATGAATGTTGTAACATACATGATGAATAACATGAGTTATTCTTGATGAATATTCATCCTGAAGAGAGATACGTGGTGTGTTGTGTGCAGATTCCGGGTTCTCAATGAGAAACATGTTCTCAACCGAACTTTCCTCCAGTCATATATAATTATATATATAGGGTCGGGTTCTGGTGAAAAAGGTAAGAAGGGATCTCCACCCTTGGATCAATCCTAATTGTGCATCTCAATTCCTGTGATAAGCACAATTCATGGGATAGGAGTGAGATTAAAAGTGATCAAGAGTCCAAATCTCTTCTTATGCTTCTTAACTTATTCTCAACTTAATTTCTATTCTCACATGATCCTTTGTCTATATATATATATATATATATATATATATATATATATATATATATATATATATATCTTGTCCCATCTGCCTGATTATTTTGTTGGTGAAAAAAACAATGCATTTTTGTCCAACTCATTATGGTCCTGTCTGGGTCTAATGTCGTGCCAAATGTGAGATAACAAGTTTTCTTTCGTGTTGTACTTGTACTGTCATGTCGTGCATACCAAACACACCCTTGATGATTTTCATTACCCGCAACCAAGCACCTCCTTAATCTTGGATTGTCTCCTTTTGGTTGATATCGATTCTATTATGAATTTGGAAACTTGAAATAATTCTCAAACGATGAAGTTGAAGATGAGTCCATTAAAATCGAAGTCTAGCTTTGTTGGAAGTAAAGGAGAAAATCCTTACTGGTTTTGTGATACAACTTTTGGTAATTTTCTTGCAGGGAGAGACTGAACCTTTTAAGCCTTATACTCACAGGTATCAAGTCCCCTTTGAGGCATCACAGAGCACTTCTCCTTTTTGGTACTCCATCAAGAGAGCTTCAGCATACATCATTGTTTTGTCTTCATACTCCGCTTATGGTACCTCAATTTCCAACCTTTTTATAATATGCAATTTCTTTTCGAAGTATATAATATAATATAATATTTATATACACCAAAACTCACACACACTTCTCACTTGCACCTTAAAGGCTCCGAATTTCGCATGCTTTGGTAGGTAAATACACTCCTCAGTACGAATGGCTCGAGCACGAACTGCCCAAAGTTAACCGAAGCGAGACGCCATGGTTGATTGTTATGACACATTCCCCATTGTATAATAGCTATATCTATCACTATATGGAAGGTGAATCCATGAGAGTCCTGTTCGAGCCTTGGTTTGTCAAATACAAAGTTGACGTCGTGTTTTCTGGCCATGTCCATGCCTACGAACGCTCGGTAAGTCTCTGTACACATTTCCCTTTTGTTAAATTTTGCAAAAATATTGTTTTCAACAAGACTTTATGAATCAGTTTGAAACTTTTGTAGCCTAACTGGTTATTTTACAAAGATATTGTTAAATTACCTACGGTTTCAAACTCTTTGGGATAGAGGTAAGGTCTGCATACATTTTATCCTTCTCAGACCCTACTTTTTGTGGGATATATAACTGATCTAGTTTGGTTCGGTTTTTACATTTTGTTTCAAAACCACCATAAACAAAACCTAACTTAGTTTCGTGACAATTTTTTGCACAGGAGCGCATATCGAACATTGAATATGACATTGTAAACGGAAAGTGTGATCCAGTTAAAGATGAATCGGCTCCTATATATATAACCATCGGGGATGGAGGAAATCTTGAGGGCTTGGCATTCAAGTAATAACTAACATATTGTGTTATCTTATAATCGTATATTTTTCTATATGAGTCAACAGCCCAGTGGCATCCAGGTTACCGGTAGACCTCCAACCTCCTTGGAGGTCAGAGGTTCAAACCTCATAAAAAATAAGGGAAGTGGGTGAGTTTTGCAGTATATAAATATCATGTGGACTTTAAAAAATAACTAACTCGAGAATGTTTGAACGATGATGTAGCATGACCGAGCCACAACCGATGTACTCGGCTTTCAGAGAAGCTAGTTACGGGCATGCCATTTTTGACATCAAGAACAAAACCCACGCGTATCATAGTTGGCACCGGAACCAGGACGGGTACGCTGTGGTAGCCGATTCAATGTGGTTTTACAATCGATATTGGTATCATCATGAGCAACATGCATCATCAAAATGATATGTTTACCTTCATCTCAAAAACGATAAATAGGATTAATTGTTGTTTCTAACCTTTGAATTTAATCGTTTCTTTCATTCATGGTGTGGGAATTTATGTATAGTTAGTACCATTATACGTGTTTGCAAAACCCTTTTTTAAAAAGCTTGTAGGATTTGATCAACTGGTTGTTAGGGACTTTCCTGACTGTTCTCAGGCCCTGGGAATAGTGGTTGAGGTATGCACAAGCTGGTCTGGACATCATGGTTAACAAAAAAACGGGAATCTGGTTTTTGGCCCTTTCCTCGCTGATCCATTGTTGATCAGCGAGGGAACTGGTTTTTGGCATTTCCAGGGATTTTTTCCATCGCTGATACCTTGTTTTCTTGTAGTGGAATTCTCTACATTTGAAGTTTTTAAATGTTTTCTACATTTTAGATAACAGTATAGATAATCATCTAATTCATTGTTTCAAAACTACATATTTAATCATCTAATTCATAGTAAAATATATATATATATATATATATATATATATATAATCATCCAATTCGTTGTTTCAAAACTATAACTAATATCTAATTCTTTGTTCCAAAATACATATTTAACCACCAAACTTGTTTATCCAAAGTACATATATAACCACCAACCTGTTCTTCCAAAAACTATATATTTAGCCACCAATTTGTTTCTTTCATTCAAAACGCAATTTGTGTAAGCTTCCCTATCTACTTCTTGCAAGTCCCCAAACATATTCACCTTTTCAGGATCGTCTCTTATCATTGAAATTACTTTAAACTTCTGCGGTTGGACCAATGACTGCATTTTTGAGATCTCATAAGTGATCATCGAACGTTTCTTATCAAGTTCTTCTTCTCGTTTGATGCCCTTGTTTAAGTTTGTTCGCCATTTTTTTTTAGCCTTTCTCCAAGTTTAGCAACCGCATTATTGAATTCGTCAGCCATGGGATCTACTCGACGTTTTCTCTTCTTACCATGCCCACTTGAAGTTTCTTCAGATTGCATATTTGCATTGGCACCTTGAACATTGCTAGTTACCATCACGTCATCAAACTCGTCATTCATGTGTTGTGTTTGATCTTCTATACACACCTCCTCTTCCTGCTCAACAAATCTCTTGCTCTATTTTTTTGAGTCCGATCTTTTCCAAATACAATACAAAGATCCTCATAAAAGGATACACTTTGTTCTTCCATTTTCCCGTCCCTTTGTGGACCTATTTCATAATAGAATAACATAAATATACATATAACTATAATTATATATAACTAAGAAGTTCTTTAGCATGTACCTGAAGATACGACTCTCAAACTTGGTCTTTAGCAACCACACAATTCCTTACACTTTTTGAAGCTGCTAGTATATGAACCACTTATCATGTCATGTACGACAGTCCAATCTTTCTTTATTACTTTTAACTTTGATTCAATGTGTGGTTTCCCTAAAATACCGGAGCCCGACGAAGATTCTTTGTTCAAGATATGTTAAATAACCCGATTTAAAGCCATTATCGACTTTAAATGCTCCTGTATTCACCATGGTTTTGTTTTCTTCAATATTCGTCCATACTCAATTTCTAATTTGACTCGTCAAACCTATAAACATAGACTGTGCTAAATTATCCCTAAATGCAGTCCAGTCATCTGAAGTACCAACAACATTTATATTATCCCCGTCTTCGACTCCAAGGTCTCCGGTTCCCTCATCCACTTCACCTTCATTGTCAAGTAGATCTTCATTGTCAAGTGGATCTAATGACATTTCTTGCATTATAAAATTGTGAAGGAGACAACATGTCATGATGATCCTAACTTTTAAATCAATAGGATAATACGAGTTATCTGTTAAGATTCTCCACCTTGCCTTTAACATACCAAAACATCGTTCAATAACATTTCTTGCTCATGAATGCTTCATATTGAAAAATTCTTTGGCAGTGGTTGGTTGGTGTCCATCACGTCAATAATTTAAATGATATCTTTGACCCTTACAAGGAGATAAGAAACCCTCTCCATTTGTATATCCGACATCAACCAAGTAATAACCTAATAATAAATTAAGTTAATAAACCATCAAAACTTATACTTGTTAATATATAGTAAAATATCAAAAACTACATCCGGTCTTGGAACTTTTAATCCATGAGGCCTAAGAAGAGTATCTCGAAGCACTCAACTATCAGATGCCGACCCCTCCCATTCCGGTAACACATATATAAATTGCATATCCCGGATCGACCGAATTGGTACGGGCATTTACTTTTTACTTTCTGTTAAAACTCGTTAGGTCGCCTAATTTCGTTCTACAACTTATTGTAACATCTTTAGATAGAACATTTTTAAGTATTTTATCAAGACATCCATCATGGTTCATTAGCAAGTAACTACCATCTGCTACCGTGGTCCATTAGCATTCTTCCCGATTGCAAAAATGTCGCCTTCAACACCGCCCAAGTCAGTAGGACACGATGGATGTCTTAATAAAATACTTAAAAAACGTTCTATCTAAAGATGTTACAATAAATAAATTTCCATTTATGAACAACCTAAGCCCAGTTGCGTTTTTGTATTTTTTGGCGATGTAAAAGAAATGTTTTTTCCGCTGTTCGTAGATCTACATTTTCATTTCTGGGTAATTGTACGTGTCTCGTCCAGTTTATGTGTATCCCGACTAATCCATGGACCCTGGAGAAACATATCACGAAAATTCTCGGGACGTATTCAAACAGGTACCTCGGGAAGCAACCCAAATGCCGAAGCCTTATTGGCTCAATATATCTTTCAAAAATCTTCAAAGAAAGAGAAATAAGAGAGGAAGGGGTTGTTTGTTTATTTCTTAATAGTTCCATTAAGAGACAATCTCTGAATCGTTAAAAGGTGAATCTTGTTTGGCAAAAAAAAGTATGCCTCTTAATGGTTCTAAAACCATCGCAATGGTTTTCTATCATGGATCTCCCTTAACCATTAAGAGCCTTAATTTATTGTACATAATTACCAAATAATTATATTTCATTTTGCATTATATCATGAGAGTCTCTTAATTATTCTGCACCAACCATTCAACAATTGCCAAACAGCCTCGAAGAGAAATGGAAAGAAAGTGGAAAAGATGAAAATATATTCGTGAAAGGATATTTTTGTAATTTTGGGTATCGTTAAGCATATAAACTGAAATCCCCCTTTTATAACTGTCATTATATTAAATTTAATATAATATTTATTATTTTTATCAAATTAATTAAATATTTTATTAAAGTACGTATAAATTCTCACGTCAAACGCATTTCATTCCGGGGATGCATTTGATCTTCCGATCGTGTTTCATGTCTTCTCGAAGTCAATTCCTGTCCATGGCCAACACAAGAACCCTAGATTTTTATCCCGTCCATGGCATTCTTACACCCATAAGACGTTAGTTTCATCTCAATCCTCACTTCTGTTTGTTTCCTTGTAAAATGCTGATAAATCTTCTAACGAATTCGTGTTTCTTGATTGTAATCAGCCGGCGATTGCGTGTTGATGAGGTCACCCGATCCATCGAAGCCGTCGTATATTGCAAAAGTGAAGAAGATTGTATCGGACTACAATGGAGACAACGTGAAGGTTCACGTACGGTGGTACTACCGGCCGGAGGAAGTAGTCGGCGGTCGGAAAAAGTTTCACGGAAACAAAGAAGTATTTCTCTCCGATCACCGTGATGTCCAAGCCGTGGATGCAATTGAAGGCAGGTGTAAGATCCACACTTTCAAGAACTACAGAAAGCTCGAAACCGTTGGTAACGACGATTTTTACAGCCGCTTACAGTATTGCTCTTCCACCGCACGCTTCAGTCCCGATAGAATTGCCGTGTATGTTCGACGTTTTCGCCCTCTCGTGTTCATAATTTCTTGCGTTCTTGATGGAATTTGTTGCAAAAGAATGATACGAACAACTTTTCTTTGATACACAGTTGATTAATCTGGTTCCTGTTAATGTGGCAGGTACTGCATATGCGAGATGCCTTATAATCCTGATGAGTTCATGATTCAGTGTGATGGCTGCCATGATTGGTAGGTCGCAAAACATTATCTATAGCATTACTTTTATGCCCTTTTTATGCTTCTTGTATCACTTCGGATGATACCATGACACGCACACACACACACACACATATATGAACTTTATGAGATGGGAGAGTTGCTGGAATAAGAAATGCTTAATATGGCACTTGCATGATGCATCTTTTTTTTGCCTTGGTGAATTGGGATGTGGGAGGCACAAGGTTTGCTTCTTTTATGACTACTGTTTTGCCGAACGTTATACTTGGATCCTTGTACATTTATTAGCCTGTTCACTATCGCCCACTGATTGAACTCCTGATATGCTGTCCAAGCTTCTACTTTTCAGTTTACTCTGCAAGTAAGCCAATTTTAGTTTCTAAACTCTCACAGCCTCTTGGTTCAGGTTTCATCCTGCTTGTATAGACATGACAGTGGAGGCGGCTAGAGAAATGGAGCACTTCCTGTGCCAGAGTTGTTTGTCATAAGAGCAAAGGGTTCTCCAAAATCATGTAGTCACGAAGGTAATTTCTTCTCTCTTGATACAGAAAGGTGATATAGCAGTGTCTGATTCTGTTTGGCATGTTGGTAGAAGTGCACCAAGTGCGAGTGTTCTTTCATATAGCAATGAACGGTTGCGGATATGGGTGCCTGATGTGTGGACACCAGGCTTCAAGATCTATTGGTTGATTATGAATCTGTATGGACAATTCTTCTATAATTATGAATGGAATCCTAAAATGTATAGAACCAGCGATTAAAAGAAATGAAAACTCACACCTTGGGCTATGGGCACGTTTTGCGTGGTCGAATCCAAGTTTGAGAAGAAGCTGACTTACCAAGATCTCTCTCAATCAGCCATCTGAATCAATACATGAACTTTTTAAATGACCTTAAATGAGTTTTCAATTAGGAGCATAGTTTTTAAGTTTCTTTTAACTCAGTAACCCTGCCTATGGTGTTGCATACACTGCTTCTTGAAGTCTTGAAAGAACACTAGAAAGTTAGATTGTAGGAATGACGTTCATAAAGGTCATGTAACTAAATGCTCCAGCTCTTTAACGGGTCATATCTATGATTCTCACATTTTCAACCTCTGGTGTTACACACACACACACACAAACTACCTTCAGTATAAACACGTTGCCTCTGTAAAATGTTGAAAAAACATTAGAATGCTAGTTTGTAAAAATGACTTTAATAGAAGGTCATTTAACTTTTTAACGGGTCATGTGTATGATTCTCTGGCATTTTCAGGTAGACACAAAGCGTCGGCGAACGTGATGTACAGGTATAATGAACCAAAAATGTTGTTGAATATACAAAAGCTTTCAAACTTGGAGAGGATGAAGATAGTAGGAACTTAACACTAATATGCAAAGGAAACCACATTTTGACTTGATTTTTGTGCATATACGTGTACATATACATATATTTCCCTTTTGATTGGTTGGACTTCTAAGTGTTTGTAGCCTATGTTTGTTTGTGAGCTAGGATCAAATCAGTTTCTTTTTATCCATATAGCGTTATTACTAAAGGTTTTTTTGACGTTTATAACATGCATCTTTTAGATGAACAACAAATAAAGACAATATATGGCGAATAGGCCATGTGTTGTTAGTTTCTATTTGTTTTACGTGTTTTACCTCATTATATTGTCTACTTGCACACTATTGTAGCGTATCTCAATTACCTGTTTTATTTATCTAGTTTTTTGCCTGCTTGCATACACCTTTGCGTTGTGCACAAGCCGATCTTCATGGAACAACTTCTCAATGAGAGTTACACCTCCTAGACCCTACTTTTGAATGGGATATACGGGATTCGTTTGGTTTGATCTAACTATGTGTTGCTCAACAACTAATTCATGCGTTTAAGTCGAGCCTTTTTCAACATTTTTGTTCTATAATGACTTGTACTTCATGCATCAAAAGATGTATTATTGTCGTTCATTTGGATTTTTTCGGGTTTAACAATAATTCATATATGACTAATTTATTCTCACATTTTCAACCTGTTTAAACTTTCCCCTTGTAATGGATGTAAATGAGTATGAATATGTAATTTCAAAAGGAAAAGAACTCAAAACAGTCGATTTCATTGTAAAAGAATGATTGTTACCAGTAAGGTAAAACACCGGCTTATGTTGAAAGATCATATTCCGACTCTTGTCTATTTTGAGACATTGATTAATCTAGACTTGGAGGATGTTTAGCAAAAACGTGGTTACCAAGTGTCACTTGCATTAGTGAGTGGGCCCAACAAGGACTATGAATCTTATCTAATAAGAGACATAACAAAGACCAATAATCTTACTAGGTAAGTGACTACGAAGACTCTTACCTAGTAAACGGTCACCGGGTAGAAGACGCTTACCAACAATTCATTTTAATGGTTGAGAATATTCCCCAATAAGTTAAGTGAAGGTGGCAACTATTGTCAGTAAGCGCTTAACTGCCCCTCACATTTTAAAAACATAATAGAAGCGTGTAAAGAGCAATAGGATACCATAACTATTAGGACCTATTCATTCTTTGTGCAAACTTAAACAATCAAATATTCAAACCCCACGCATTCTAAACAAAAAAGTTGAAAGCATAAGGATTGAGAAGAGTTTGAAATCCCCTTTTTGCTTTCCAGTTTTATCTACGTATGCAATATATGAGCTCTGAATTAAATCCATGGCTTCCTTCATTCATAGCATGTGTTGGCCCAAAATCAACATAGCTTCACATGTGAAGCTTCTTCATATAGTCCACTTTCTTCTTCGTTTTCATATGAACATATTGTCTTGAATTGATCAAAACCGAGCTCTTCTTGTTCTCGAGATTCAAGTATTAAAAGATCACTCTGTATACAATAAATACACTTATTGCTAAATCTTTCAAAGCAACAAATCATAAATTTACAAGTGAAAGTGAACAACTCCATTGTTGATTGAAGAAATATCTTTAAAACCATTGTCATTTATTTAGCTATGCTCAATATCGCTTCATATGTGAAGCATAACATGATACAATATAGCTTCACATGTGAAGCATCAAACCCATAATTAGTGATGTTTTTAAGTCTATTTATCTGACAATCAACAATCATCATAGAACATCGATGATGCTGATAAGATTAAACTACAAGGTTTGTGTATTTTGTTGTGGATATTTTTAAACTGAACAAAGCCAAATACACTAGATTAATCTTCTTGTTTACCTACCAGAAAAGATTGGTTCTTCAGGAGCAATATCATTACTGAAAAGGACCTACGTAGGTAGCTCCCCGGCTAGATGTGTAAACAAAACATTAAACGTTGGCGGACACAAAGAAACATGCTTATGGCCGTTTACCAAATGCGTATTGGGTAAGCGCTTAATGCCAAGAGAAAATACCCTTGCTTACCTTATCCTATAACATTCTCCGCCATCAAAATAGATTGTTGGTAAGTGCCTTAAACCCAGTAAGCACTTACCGGGTAAGAGCCTTTTACTCCACTTACCGGGTAAGACTTGCAGTCGTTGTTATGCCTCTAATTAGGTAAGATTCTTAGTCCTTGTCATGCTCAATTGGTAAGGTAAGTGATATCGGTAAGCGCTTACCCAGTAAGCATTTAGTAAACGGCTCTTTAGCCGCTCCCTAGAGCCCCCTCATACATTCCGATCAATGCCTCCCTCTGTGTTTCTCTCTCCTCAAATCCTTTGCAAGTATGTATGTATGTATGTATTCTCAATGAAACTCCCTTGCATCAGGTGTGTGTAATTGTGTATTTCCCCTAGATTTGAGCTGATAATCCTACTCCCCTCTTTCTGTATTTGAGAATTCTTGCCACAAATGAGAATCCGAATTTCATCCCTAGTCTACGATCCAGCCGTAAACCCAAAACTCATGTGAAAGCTTATCTTTTTCTAGATTTCATATGGAAGAAGATTAGGTTTTGGATAAATATACGGGACCAAAATGATGGGAGTCGGGAGAAGGGCCTATCGAGGATTCAAGCATTAAAACCTGCAAAACTTGGGTTCTACACCATCCATTTTTTATACATAAATAAATAAATGTCAATATATCTATCAATAATTAGAAAATAGTAAGAGGAAGAAAATACAAATAGCACACATACTTTTTCATCTGTCATCTTTTAGGTCTTCAAACGTTGTAAGGTATTTCTCTATTTGGATGTGCACCTAGCAAGAACAAAAGTTGTTAAAAAATTGTGTAAAACGAAATAGGTCAGAAAAATCATACTTATAATCATCATCCCAAAACCAATTGTTCGCACGAACTAATCCTTTTAATGTATGAGGATGAAGCCGATTACGATAAAGAGTCATAGGTCTTCCACTGGTACTAACAATACACACTCAAAAGCAACTTAGACACATGTATAGCCAAAGTATCTCCAATAACTTGCAAAAGAATATGCAGGTTCAGCTTCTCGACGTGGGTAGGGTATCTCCAATACCTGTAATATATCATATGCTAGGTAGGGCAGGGCGGGGGTGAGACAGGCTCGGTTTAGAGGACCGAAGGAACTACCTAGGTTTCTCATGATTTAAAAGAACAAGTTAATGAAAGTTAACCCATATGTTGTGAATCTCTAAGGAGGTGTTTGTTTTGATGGGAAGGTATTGGAGGATTTGGATTTTGGGTGGATTTTGAAGGACTTGGAATCTTTGGTGTGTTTGGTTTGTAGGATTTGGAATGGAATTAAATTTCATTCGGTATAAATAATTTGTAAAAACAAATTATAAATAATTATAAAAATAATTAATTTACCTTTTTATTAGTTAATTAGTAGAAAATAAATGTTTTTTTAACATATTTTAAAACATTATTATATACAAATCCTATATATCCCGTGAAATCCCGATCACCCTGTAGGATTTCAAAAACCTATGTTTGCGGGATTTCAAATCCAGGAAATCCTTCGAACCAACCATGGGATAGGAATGGAATTCAGTTCCAAATCCAAATGAATCCTACAAACCAATCGGGACCTAAGTTATGCAAATTATCTACCAGTAAGAAGCCCGTTTGAGAATTACCTGAACTTCTTTCTTGAGTTCACAGAGGAGAAACACACGACATTATCTGTATTCACATCTTCTGCTTTGTTTTTTCTCTCTTCCACACAATTACAGTGCCACCAAAATCAGAGGATGCCAACAAGTTCTCACCATGATTCCATGCAACTGCAATGACTGGGTATCCATGCCCCTGCAATCGTGATGAACAAAACAAAATAGATTACCTAAGATATCCACTGAAGAAATCAGTTACTATAAAGAAAATAATCATTTTCAGGATCTAATATTAACAAAAGTTTGCTGACTTGGAATAGAGACAGAGAAAGACTTGTGAACTCAAGTCAATACCAACAATTTGTTCATAATGAAGATAATAGACAAATAGATTAACTTGGAATCTTCCTGAAACAAAAGGTTGAAATTTTATGGGATGAAAGGAATATTTGAGCTCCTTTTAGATTTTGAAATAACACACTTTTTCTTTGGGAGGGAGGGGGTAACAAAGAAGGAACAAACCTGTAGCTTGTTCACGCATGTGTTCTTCAGACGAGTTAAGTCATAAAAATAGACTGTTGCATCCTCGCTTCCAATGACTTCACAATCAACATAAACTCTTGTATTATTAAACCATCACATATGTGTTCTGAAGTCAGCATGCATGCACTCTCCCTCTCTGTCTCACACGTCCACATTTCTAGTTTAGTTTGTCCCGAAATAAGTGTCCACTTTCAAAAGTAAATATCTACTTTCCAACTCTACCCTTAATTATGAGATGGAGAAATTCATTAGTCCCTTTCTTATGGAGGTTGCAATTGTCATTTAGTTAATTAGAAAGTGTAGTTACACATTTCTAAAACTGTGTGCCTTATTTATCATGGACATATATTTCGGGGTGGAGGGAGTAAGATAAGAAAGGGAGTCCTTTTGAAATTGCATTAGAGTAATCTAAAGTTAACAGTCACAGAACTTGCCATGAGTAATTTGACATCTGTCCCACATTGGTTATGATATGAATTGTGAGTTCATGTCCTTAGGTAGTGGTTCACTAATAACTTTCATCATGGTTTCAAATTGATTTTGATGCAATTGGACAAGCTTGCCTCTTTGAGTTTGGGGTATTACAAGCAAGCTAATGAAAAGATAAGTGAGAAATGCTACATCTTAGTCCTATTGTCCACTCAGCTAAAATGGGAAGCATGATGCAATTTTGAGTAAGCTTACGAAGCAGTCTAAATCGATGAAATATATAGTGAGTTATGGATATAAACCTATATATTCTCCTTTTTCAAGGGAAAGCAAAGGACAAAAAGAAGCACGGATACTGTGAAGTCGTGGAGCCAACTGGAGGGAGCAGCGAAGAGTCAGATAACCTTGCATCTCCAACGAAACACTGCGAGAACCAAAAATACCAACTTCTAGTCAGCAATTTGGATTTTAAAATTTTATCAACTCAATTCAAATAGATACCTGAAGAAAGACAAACTTCCATCTCGAGTAAGAGAAAGCAACACAGGACCTTGTGTCAGCAGAGAAAATGATCTATACTGGATGGTTGTGAATTCAGATTTATGCTTGCTGCTAGTTCTAGTACGATGAGACCGAGACAAGGTACCTTGATGAGAGTTTACTTTAACTGTGTATATAGAACCCTGAAGAATCAAAGGAAATTTTTGGTGTGGGGTGTTAAATTAATGAGAGTTATCAAGATAAAGTTGACAACATGACTTTGAAAAAGGCTCACCTGTGTATCTCCACAGAAAATAAACTGGCCAGTATGGTCATAATCAAGGGCGGTAATCTCACTGTCAACCACTATCTTACTTATTAATCTTCCCGTACTAAAATTGAATACCTGAGATGGGACATACATAAAGCCTGTGAGATGGAGAGACTGCAGGAAATGGAGACTTCAAAATCTACCAAGTGACATAGTATATGATGACAGTGAATTCCAGAAAGGAATTGCTGGAAAACAAAGAAAAAGTTGAATTCTGCATTGCAAGTACGAGAAACTAAATTTTTATAACACTGTAATATCTCATTTCTGATACACAAAGTGATAGTAGCAGCATATTCCATGAACCAACACCTGACTAATGAGTGTTGTTCCTTCAAATATCATCTTGAGCATGGAGTCAGTTAAAGTGGCAGATTATAAATCCAAAGAAAGTCTTGGGCCTCTCCGTTATTACCAACTTCAACAGCTAGAAAACAGTACAAAGAAGAAATGGTTTACAATGGTTGAATGTAATGTGGGCCGATGTGTTTTATATGGACCCTGATCCAACACAGTGAATGATGCGTGTGTGCTTGATTACTATTCCCTCACCAGCTGAAGAAGTACGAGTGGAGGTCAACGCACATGGAACAACTCCTGTTTATTCCACTTTGGTTATATAGACATCAGTTAAGAGCTTGGATATGATCATGCAATTTCATTGAGAAACCCCACAAAAACAAAGACAGCAAAAGATGGGCATTAATTACCGAGGCTTCTCTGTTTGCGTTGCCGACTGAAAGAAAGTTATTATTCACCTGCAATTAGTTAAGAAGAAGAGTATTAGTGTATGGCCAACTATATATTTCTTTAACATCTTGAGCTGATTATACCACCTATCCATGTTCCTAAGATGAGCACCAAATAACACTTTCTGAATGAAAATATTGAAGTGTACCATGTACCAAAAATCCAATGATACATACTAGAGGTAAAAGACAGATATTAAATTAGAGTATAATAGGCAATAGGAGAAGCAATTTCTAAGAAGAACTTAGGAACCCAAAAGAGAGAAGAAAGACGATATAATGCATAAATAAAGAAGTTCAAAATTTTGCAAATTTACTGAAACTGTTATATATAGATGGCCATGTTTATTATATTCCTATAGAAGAAAGTCTAAAATAAACAGATACAATATAACAATAATTAGATTTAAGTAATAAAATGTTCATGTGCACTTACAGGATGAAATCGAATACAAAGCTGGGAAGCAACCCCATATATTACTCGAATGCAAAGGCCCTTTGGGATATCCCATACCCTCACAGTTTTATCCAATGAAGATGATGCAATGTACTGGTTGTTTAACGTGAAGTCAAAATCTGAAAAAAGGAGTTACACAAATATAGAAGACATCAAGACATTATTAAATTCCTATTTCAATTACTGTATTATCTTTTTATATAGACATGAATCCACTCTTAACGAGTGTGCATTCATATTAGACAGAAATGTGCTCATGCATTTATGAGCGTGCAAGCGTACAGGAGTTCTTGAATTTATTCCTAGGTCATAAAGTATTATTGCATCTATCCCATAATAACACACCTCCAAAAGCAAGTACTTTTCTAGAGCTCAAACATACTTAAGACATAATCAGCCTGATCTTTCCAATAATGCCTATTCTTATTGGATTTTTTGCATTTCTGAGCTTCATTAAAAGTATAATACAGTGATGTGCTCCAGCTAAATGTGTACTTTTCCATCTTGAACTTCATACAATGACACAAACGTATAGTGCCAGAAAATCTTTATGTTTTCATAAGTCTTGTCCTAATTTTTTTCTATGTCAAAGTCTCAACAACATAGCATTCTATTATTAAATTATCCACCCATGAGGGTCATTATTCCCTTCCAGTTTTCATGATTCTCTATTGACAAGGACCAACTGTAGCTCTATATAGAGACATGTAGAAATGAACTAAAAAATCAAGGTAGTGGTTGACCACTTCCAAAATCATGTGTGTTATTAATAAGCTAGTAAGGGGTTGTCCTATTACAGGATTTTTGCAGGCATCAGGAGAAAGAATGATCATCCTAATAAAAGAAAAAATAATTATAATTAAGAACCCAATCGACACAAATGGATCACAAGGACATTTTGGCAATAGAGAAAAGTAACCATAAAATGCATCAAGAAACATTAAAGGTTAGACTAAAGAGCCAGTACCAGCTGATCCAACCTGTAACATCTTTTGAGTGCCCAGTCAATTTCTTCATGACGGAAGGTGGTTCTGAGACGGTGCAAACTGTTAATGTTCCATCTGTTGCTCCATAGGCAAGTATATCAGAACTCATATGCCCAAACTTTATAACAGTAACTGCACATAAAACTAAAACACTCACTCCAGGAAAGAGAAGTAATCACATATCAAATGACCAGCAAAAATTCATCTCAAAAGTTACCCATGGCTTTGCACTCATCAAAGATGCAATGCATTCCTACAAAAGAATATGCAGGTTCAGCTTTTCGACGTGGGTATTCAAAATCACTTGAATTTGCACCAAAACTAACAGTACGACTCAGTGTTTGGCTCTCTCGCAGGTCCTGTAAAAATATTAACAAGATCATATAAAAGACATCAAGACTTATTATCCCAATCCACTATACCATTATGCTGAAAAAAGAGTAAAACATACCTTGCTACCATTCAAGCTTTCCATCTCAAGCGCAAGGGAGAGTTGACTTGGAGAATGTATCCATCGCCCACTAATGAATGAACCAGTAAATTAGCCTGGTATCAGAATTATATGAACCTAAAATTGCAAATAACATCCTACCAATCATTACAAAGTCATGGTAATCTACTTCAAGGTCTAATTATTTCAAATAATACTCTACCAATCACGGCAATTTCATGATAATTTACTTGCAACTTTTCAAACCATAGTCTAACTAGTGAGAAAACGAACAGCGATACTGAACAACTGCATTATGCTCTTCAATGCATAGGCGCAGTGATGCAAGTTAGCAGTTCCTTTTGGTGGACAAGTAAGTTTTACTTCTACATAGTGCATAGAATTATCAAATAAATCCAAGAGAACAATCAAAGAAGGAAACAGTAGCATGTAAAAAGTTCAGCTACCTGGCTCCAGGGGTGCTACCGCGACTCGGTATTTGCGAATTTATCCAATTATCTGGCCTGTTGATGAAATTACGATAAGCCACATAGCCTTTTCCATTGCATCTCCAGTCCTACACACAACAGATGCCACAGCTATATTCATTGTTCGTCAAACAAAGCAGCATAGTTGCTGTTTTCACCCTTCGTCAAATTGCGGAGTATCTACATTCTCCGGTCAGGTTTGATATTTGTTGTTACAAATTTCCTTTAATCGAAAAAGTGACTAACAGAGTACCTTCCGCCGAAGAACACCTGATTCAGCCTTGCCAAACAGAAGAAGACGACGAATACCGACGTAATTAGGATCGGAGTTGGCGGGACAGGGCTGAAGCATACAGCTGAAGGTTTCTGGATCCTCAGTAACATTCTTTTTTATTCTCTGCTTTTTCTCATCATCACCAACTTCAGACGAACATTTCTCGATCGTCTGATCCGCCATCTCTACGATACTTCCGAATAATCCTTCATCACACTTCAAAATTCAGCTCTTCTACACAAAATCGATTCACGAATCGAGGGTTTTTGAGATCGGTTATTTTTAAAATCACTCTTTCCAATTGGTTACAACGCGAAGTACACCTAAACTCGGAGTTCTTCAGAGAGCAAACAAATCAAGATTTGAATGAGTTTGAAAACGGTGTTGACAAACGACCCATGTGCGATTTTCGTTCATCGACCTTCGGACTTCGGTGACTATCGTATAATTAGAGTTTCTCCCCTTTACGTTAAACACAATGACATTTTGGTCCCTATGGTTTGTTGAATATTTTCATTTTGGTCCCTGTGATTTTGAAATTACGATTTTCATCTCCATAGTTTATAACAATTACTGTTTTTGTTTTTATGATTAAAACTTTATTGCTTTTTTGTTCTTGTGGTTTACAATTTATTTATGTATTAAGGGCTGTTTGGCAGTTGCTGAATGGTTTAGTGCAGAATAATTAAGTGATCATAATGATTAAGAGACTTTTATGATATAATGAAAAATGAAATATAATTATTTGGTAATTGTTTACAATGAAATTAGGGTTCTGAATGGTTAGAAATTCTTTGGTATTTGGCTGAATTGACTGAATGGTTAGGCCAGTTTGTTCACTAACCATTTCAGCTTATTTATCGAGTTTGTGGCTTAATCGGTTAGTCATCTAGGGTTGGTTTATTCCATTTAATCATATATTAAAACAGTAGATCAAAAAGGTTGTTCGAGAAAAATACAAAAAATTGTCAATACTTATATTTATTATGCTATTTCAGTTAGATCTATGACTATGAGGTTGTTTTGGTAGGTTTTTATCAAGTCATGTATGTTAAAGTTGTTTATGTTGATTAATTTGTACGTATAGATTGGAAAGGTTTTTGTTTGAGATGATTTTTTTCATAAATGGAAGAAAACGTATACTTAATTGGAAGGCGTAAGTTTGAAAAAAAAAACTTGGTTTTCTGCATCTCCTATAAATTTACTGAATAAGTTAATTTCTATATCATTAAATCACTGACAAACAATCATATATAATTGACTGAATAAGTTGTGAATCTCATTAAGCTGCTAAAAAATAGGTTTTCTGTATTATTTTTTTCCCTATTTTCTTAGTTTGGGTAATTTCTCTTGGCGTTAAATGCTTACTCGGTACGCATTTAGTAAACGGCCATACGCATGTTTCTTTGTGTCCGCCAACGTTTAATGTTTTTTTGTTTACACATCTAGCTGGGGAGTTACCTACGTAGGTCCTTTTCAGTGATGATATTGCTCCTGAAGAACCAATCTTTTCTGGTAGGTAAGCAAGAAGGTTAATCTAGCGTATTTGGCTTTGATCGGTTTGAAAACATCCACAACAAAATACACAAACCTTGTAGTTTAATCTTATCAGCATCATCGATGTTCTATGATGATTGTTGATTGTGAGATAAATAGACTTAAAAACATCACTAATTATGGGTTTGATGCTTCACATGTGAAGCTATATTATATCATGTTATGCTTCACATATGAAGCGATATTGAGAATAGCTAAATAAATGTAGTTATGACAATAGTTGTCACCTTCACTTAACTAGGTAAGCGCTTACCGACAATAGTTGTCACCTTCACTTAACTTATTGTGAAACATTTTTAGCCTTTAAAATGAATTGTTGATAAGCATCTTTTACCCGGTAACTGTTTACTAGGTAAGAATCTTCGCACTCACTTACCTAGCATGATTATCGGTCCTTGTTATGTCTCTTACAGGTAAGATCCTTAGTGCTTGTCGGGACAACCCACTAATGCAAGTGACACTTGGTAACCACATGTTTGCTAAACATGCTCCAAGTCTAGATTAATCAATGTCTCAAAATAGGCAACAGTCGGAATATGATGTTTCAACATTAACCGGTGTTTCACCTTACTGGTAACAATCATTTTTTTACAATGAAATCGACTGTTTGGAGTTCTTTTCCTTTTGAAATTACATTATTCATACTCATTTACATCCATTACAAGGGGAAAGTTTAAATAAGGCAAAAAGGTTGAAAACGTGAGAATTATTGTTAAACCTAAAAAAATCCATATGAACGACAATAATACATCTTTTGATGCATGAAGTGCAAGTCATTATAGCACAAAAATGTTGAAAGGCTCAACTTAAACGCATAAATCAGTTGTTGAGCAACAAAAAGTTAGATCAAACGAATCCGGTATATATCCCACTCGAAAGTAGGGTCTAGGAGGCGTAACTTTCATTGAGAGGTTGTTCCCATGAAGACTGGCTTGTGCACAATGGAAAGGTGTATGCAAGCAGGCAAAAAACTAGATAAACAAAACAGGTAATTAAGATACGCTACAATAGTGTGCAAGTAGACAGTATAATGAGGTAAAACGCGTAAAACAATTAGAAACTAATAACACAGGGGCTATTCGCCATATATTGTCTTTATTTGTTGTTCATCTAAAAGATACATGTTATAAACGTCAAAGAAACGTTTAGTGATAATGCTATATAGATAAAAAGAAACTGATTGGATCCTAGCTCACATAAACAAACATAGGCTACAAACACTTAGAAGTCCAACCAATCAAAAGGGAAATATATGTATATGTACATATATATGCACAAAAATAAAGTCAAAATGTGGTTTCCATTGCATATTAGTGTTAAGTTGCTACTATCCTTTCATCCTCTCCAAGTTTGAAAGCTTTTGTATATTCAACAAGATTTTTGGTTCACTATACCTGTACATCACGTTCGCCGGCGCTTTGTGTCTACCTGAAAATGCCAGAATCATATACATGACCCGTTAAAAAGTTAAATGACCTTCTATTAGAAGTCATTTTTTACAAACTAGCATTGTAATGTTTTTTCAACATTTTACAGAGGCAACGTGTTTATACTAAAGGTAGTTTTTGTGTGTGTGTAACACCAGAGGTTGAAAATGTGAGAATCATAGATATGATCTGCTAAAAAGCTGGAGCATTTAGTTACATGACCTTTATGAACGTCATTCCAACAGTCTAACTTTCTAGTGTTCTTTCAAGACTTTAAGAAGCAGTGTGTGTGACACCATAGGCAGGTGATATGAAGGTTATTGAGTTAAAAGAAATATAAAAACTATGCTCCTAATTGAAAACTCATTTAAGGTCATTTAAAAAGTTCATATATTGATTCAGATGGCTGATTGAGAGAGATCTTGGTAAGTCAGCTTCCTCTCAAACTTGGATTCGACCATGCAAAACGTGCCCATAACCCAAGGTGTGAGTTTTCATTTCTTTTGATCGCTACTTCTATACATTTTAGGATTTCATTCATAATTATAGAAGAATTGTCCATACAGATTCATAATCAACCAATAGATCTTGAAGCCTGGTGTCCACACATCATGCACCCATATCCTCAACCGTTCATTGCTATGAAAGAACACTCGCACTTGGTGCACTTCTACCAACATGCCAAACAGAATCAGACACTGCTATATCACCTGATTGCTATGTTCTTATTTCAGCCATAATTCATAAATGTGGCAAGAAAAGTATCAGTTATGCACTCCTTCTAACCTAATGGTTTAGTTACATAACGTCCCCTAGTATGTTTCTTTTTTACATCAATGCAGTGAGCGAATAATGTATACCATGTGTTAAATAAACTTAGTACGCCAATGCAGTGACTTCCTAACCAGTCTTGACATTCCAATTTCACTGCAAGTTCTGTAAAAGAACCCATAAATAACAACCAACATTTTAAACCATGCCAAGTTATTACCTTCATGACTGCAGGCCTGGAAATAGCATGAGAATTTTGGAGAACCTTTTGCTCTTCTGACAAACAACTCTGGCACAAGAAGTGCTCCATTTGTGTAGCCTCCTCCACTGTCATGTCTATACAAGCAGGATGAAACCTGAACCACGAGGCTGTGAGAGTTTAGAAACTAAAATGAGCTTACTTGCAGAGTAAACTGAAAAGTAGAAGCTTAGAGAGCATATCAGGAGTTCAAACAGTGAGCGATAGTGAACAGGCTAATAAATGTACAAGGATCCAAGTATAATGTTCGGCAAAACAGTACATAAGAGAAGCAAACCTTGTGCCTCCCACATCCCAACTCACCAAGGCAAAAAAAAGATACATCATGCAAGTGCCATAGTAAGCATTTCTTATTCCAGCGACTCTGCCATCTCATAAAGTTCATATTGTGGCCGGTGTCAAGTGCCTTTTACTAAACAACCAACCTCCTGGTATTAAGAACAATTTCATGACTTCTTATCTCTTTTGAATAAGCTACTAGTTTAGGATGATATTGCTTCGCTGACCTCAAATTAAATTATCTTGAAATTTATAGAAGAAGCATAAGAAGGGCAATTAAAAGTAATGCCATAAATAATGTTTGGTGACCTACCAATCACGGCAGCCATCACACTGAATCATTAAGTCATCAGGATTGTAAGGCATCTCACATTTGCAGTACCTGCCACATTAACAGGACCTAGATTAATCAACAGTGTATGAAAGAAAAGTTGATCGTATCATTCTTCAAATTTAGTTATACCAACAATAAAGAAAACACAAATTCAGATAAAAAAAGGGGGAAAACATCATGAAAAGTGCAAGAAACAAAACCAACCCAAAAAGAGATCATGCGTCTTTTACAACAAACTCCATCAAGAACGCAAGGAATTATATACACGAGACGGCAAAAACGTCAAACATACACGGCAATTCTATCGGGATTGAAGTCTCCGGTGGAAGAGTAATACTGGAAACGACTGTAGAAATCGTCGTTACCAATGGCATCGAGCTTTGTATAGTTCTTGAACGTGTGGACCTTACACTTGCCTTCAATTGTATCCGCGCCTTGAACATCATAGTGATCGGAGAGAAATACTTCTTTGGTTCCGTGAAACTGTTTCCGACCGCCGACTACTTCCTCTGGCCGGTAGTACCACCGTACGTGAACCTTCACGTTGCTTCCTCTGTCGTCCGATACAATCTTCTCCACTTTCGCTATATACGACGGCTTCGATGGATCGTGTGGCCTCATCAACACGCAATCGCCGGCTAATTACAATCGAGAAACGCAAATTCATTAGAAAATTTATCAACATTTTACAAGGAAACAAAAAAAAAAGTGAGGATTGAGATGAAACTAACGTCTTATGGATTTATCAACGCCATTGACGGTATAAGAATCTAGGGTTCTTCCGTTTGCCATGGACTGAGGATGACTTCAAGCAGACATGAAACACGATCGGAAGATCAAATGCATCCCCGGAATGCGATGCGTTTCACGTAGGAATTTATGCATACTTCAATAAAATATTTAATTACTTTGATAAAATAATAAATACGTGTCTTAATATCAAATTTAATGTAATGACAGTTATAAAAAGGGAATTTCAGTTTATATGCTTAATGATACCCAAAATTACAAAAATATCCTTTCACAAATATATTTGTATCCTTTCTACTTTCTTTCCATCTCTCTTCCTCTCTTATTTCTCTCTCTCGGTTTAGTAGGCTCGCATCAGTGACGGATCCAGAATTTTTGTTCAATGGGGTCATCTTTAAGGTACATTAAAGACCCGCAAAATCGTCCGATGTATTTTTAACCTAATTACAACGTTTTCGAGAGAATTTTAAAGTTTTTTGGTTGATTTCGATGGATTTTTTTAGTGTTTTTTGTCGATTTCGAATAACTTTTTTTGTTTTTTTGATTGATTTCAATAGATTTTTTTTGTTAGAGTAATGGTTTCGATTGGAGTTGGGGGCCCGTGGAAAAATATAATGGGAGGAAGTGAAAAGTAAATCATGTAAAATCTAAATTTTAGCCTATGATTTTTTTTTTTTTTAGTTTTTGACTGGAGTCCCTTCCCCCCTCCTTTGTGCTAACGGGTTAGATATCCAGGTTAATAAAAAAAAATAGCAACATGCTTCAAAGATCTGTGTAACATTGTCATAACATCTTTTCAAACTCTCTGTAATATTTTTATAAGCTTTTCACAACCTTAAATATTTTAATAATAAAGGTTCGAACTTGTAATCTTATTGTAGTTTCAACAAATTAATACGATGACACTTTTCACGACCCTAGAATTTTTTACATTACGAAGGATGAACAATGCTATGGCACAGACCACCCACCGTATGCCTTACATTGGGTCCGTGCATGTCTCACAACCTTTTTAGTATGAAAAACATAGGAGTTTGACACGAGAGTAAATAGTATCAAGACCGGTGGGAAGCGATAAAGATCATAATAGGTGTTTCGTGTGTGTTTAGTGTTCCCCAGGTTGGTAAATTTAATCGTAAAGTGACGGGTAATCATCGAGACCATATCAAAACCGTTGTTTGTGTGCGCGTCCACGCCTGTGTCACTATCACATGACGTTAATCGTTAACTTGCGATATTCACCACTTTTTTTTATATGTAATCTCTTTCTTTTTCTATTGCAATGCTCTTTTGTAACAGTTAACAATAATTTCAAACTTGCAACATGTATATAATTTCCTTCCGTATACACATCTCAACTTATCGATCTTCTCATAAGCGATATCGTGGATGCATCTCCACCTATTTCCTCGAACACGACTATCAAATTCTGGGTCGGCTTCAACCAAGATCGAGGGACATGGTACCTACGAAAACATAATCAAAAAGACAAAAGGGTCATTGGTCGATCAGTATCCAGGTTACAGTAGAGCTCAGTCTGAACAGTGTACGTAAGTATCTGTTGTATATAAATATTATATACTTCAAAAGAATTCGCACGAGCTTGGCGAAGGTTGTTTGTGTAATTAATGAAGAATTTACCATCGTTGAGTCGGTCTTCCGCAACGGGTTTGACATTTGACGGGCCGATAAGTACCGGCATAGCTGCAGGGGGTACAACTACCTGTTGCATGTTTTGTCCAATATCTTCCTATGCTTTGACCATTGATCCATACTTGACCTTTTCCCATTCTTTTCATGTCAATAGCCAATGGCTCAGCCCCTTCTGGTGCATTGAAATAAGCCTGCAGGTGTACACCCGGTCAATGCACCTCACATACACACAACAAAAACTCACTTTATTATTAAAATATTTAATATCTTGCTTAGTCGTATCAAATACCAGATAGACAACTAGTTCAGTCTGGTTCACGTACTACACGGTGCACACACCCTTACGGATCAAATAAAGGGACTTGCGACACCGTAAAGAAACCATACCTTGTACCATGTAAGGGGCCTATGATTGTCTGCAAACGACGATTCTACCCAATCTACTGACGAAATTCCCGTTGGCGTTGCGAGGTTTTTGGATTCGCCTTTCAGGCCGACCTATAAAAACACGTCGGAAGAACACAAAGAGGACGTTAAAACCTTCGTCCTAGAAAAGAAGACAGAATTTCGAGGTCAATCAAACTAATTCTTCGAACGAAACAGACCTGGTATGACCATTTCTGCGGAGACATGTCCCTCGAGCCATGGCCTAGCCCATTCAACACAACGGGTCCTAACACTCCCGTCTTCCATAGCTCAAAATGTGGCCCATTATTCTTCGTTCACAAAGAAATCTTCGCATTTAGATTCGTATAAATCAATCAAATACGATAAAAATTGACTTAAATTGACTCACTTGTAACCCGACAGCCACACTAAGCAGCGAAATCTTGTTCATTCCGGCATGTAGATGGGGATTTCCTGTGAACTTCACTTTCCGAGTTTCTTGATTTCCATACACCGAACCTGATGAGTTCACGTATAAATAACATGTCAATAACATCATAACTATGAGAATACGTGGAATCCTATCAGATTACTTTCAAAAGAGCCCTTGAGGAGAAAAGGGCGTTTCGACATATATTAGATTAGAAAGGTCCAAATCTAGCAGATATGGACTCTGACAACAAGCATGAGCTTAGCTCATTTAGTTGTACATACGTGCTTAACCAAGTTGTACCTGAGTGTTCGCCATTGATGAAGACATGTAAAGCATGACCTTCGGACTCAACGGACAGAGTAGGAACGCTTCCGGCGTGCAATTCAGATGGGTTTATCACAACACTAGAAACCAAGATAAAAAAACATAAGTATAATTTTTTTTATTAACTTGGATATCCAACCCGCTATATGAGCCGACTAATCTCAGGGCGACCACCTGCTTTGCAGATAGCCCGGAGTCACCGCATTTGAACCTCCGTAGCCACAAGAGAATTTTTATTCCTCCTTGGATTTGAACATGGGACCTCCTGGTACTTTTGACCTTTGGAGCCAAACTCAAACCAATCAGGGACCACCCTTGTGGTTAATATAAGTATAATTTCTAATGCGCAATGACGAAATGTAGAAATTTCTAATGCATAATATACAAGTAGTATGCTCAAGAATCTCTTCTCACCTGGTCGAATACCAAAGATAGTCGCTCGTATCTCTAGTTACGCTCAACTGATCCAACAAACCCGAAACGGTCATCTTTGAATCAGAATCGGCCGATGAAATGTCTTCACTGAAAGCTTGCCATGAGAGCCTATTCACATTTGTTGGTGACATATGAACTCGAGATGTCCTTCCAACCTGAAATACCCGAAAAAAGGTCAGGAGCCGACTTTAGGTCCTTGCACCTCAGGCAACACTGTCGTAGTGTTACAATAAGCTGTTAGGACGAAATTACAGGTGACCTAACAAATTTTATCTATGAAGTTGGACAACCTAATAGTACACATGATAAGGGGACTTAGTGAGTTTGTTGTAACTGAACTTCTTATAAAAAGGTTAATAAGATTATGTACTTTTTATTTTCTGTTATACTGTTCAATTTCGTAGATAAAACTTGTTAGGTTGCATAATTTCATTGTACAACTTATTATAACATCTTTAGATAGAATGTTTTTAAGTATTTTATTAAGACATCCACCGTGTCCTACTGACCTGGGCGGTGTTGAAGGCGACATTTTTGCAATCGGGAAGAATGCTGATGGACCACGGTAGCAGATGGTAGTGGTTGTTCCTGAATACGACTGTTGCCGATGAGTTGATATGGTAATTCGCTAGAAAAGCAGCACAACCTCCGGTTTTCGAAGAAAACACATGAGCCTGTAACGTGTCAAAGACTCGTAGTCGTTAGTTAACTAGATATGAACTAGAAACCCCTCCGATAGTCGCTTTCTAGAAAGTTTCGAGTCTCCCAATTCCTAAAATAGTCATTATAGGGTCCTTCGGTTAAATGACCTTAGGAGTATCACCTTGTAAATTTATTTATGAGTAAATTATAAATTTGGTCCCTGTGGTTTGTTGAAAATAACATTTGTTGTCTCTGCAATTTCAAATTTACTAGATAGCCATCAGAGTTTGAAAAATGTCTGGATTTGGTCCCTCCCTCTTAACGGTCATTAAAAAATTCCATTAAATTGGGGGGGGGGGGATTTTCATTCATTTACCAATTATTTTGTCTTTTACCCAATTAAAACCGAATTTATGATTTTGGTCCATGTAGTTTTTGATTGGGTAAAATACAAAAATAATCAATAAAAAAACGATAATGCCCCTAACGGAATCTTTGAACGACCATTAAAGGGAGGGATCCAATCCGAACGTATTTTAAAACCACGATGGTCATCTTATAATTTTGAAGCTGTAGAGATGAAAAGTGTTATTTTCAACAAACCACAGGGACCAAATTTGTAGTTTAATCTTTATTTATTTTTAATTCAATGACCTTAACTGACCCGCCTCCGGTGTAAAACAGTCCGCTCCCTAAAGAACTTGAAAATACATTGTAGGGTCATTTTGGGTATATTTAGGTATGTAACCTTAAATGAGATTTTAATTAAATTCATGACCTTCTCATGAGTATGAAGCTAATTTCTCTTTAATAGGTCAGGAGGTCATAGATTTAGTTAAAATCTCATTTAAAGTTGTACATATTTTTGCAAACGAGCTATGTAGAAGGTCATTGAGCTAAATATCCCGAATGAGTGAAAAATATCGCACAATATTCTACAAACCTGTTCATAAGATCCTAACGAAACGAAAGCCGGATCAGCTGATAAAATAGCCCGCTCGCTTAATTTGATTGCTTTATGAAGCTCCCTCAGATGATTGTATTTCGGTTGCCTAAGCAAGCCTGTGGATACAAAAAAAAATAAGCATTTTCAGCAATTTTTTAGCCTGATGGTATGTAGGTTACTGGTAGAGCCAAGCACAGCCTTCCAAAAATGTGCATGAGTATTTGTCCTATATAAATAGTATATATTAAAAAAATTAAATCCAACGAGTGTATCTTTTTACTACCATATTCATCTATAGGAGCATCGTAATCGTAGCTGGTTGTGATGAACGGGCCTCCGGCCGTCCTTCCGAAGTTCGTTCCTCCGTGATACTATTTATGATAAGAAAAATATCAGTTTATTGGCAAACTTTTGTTTGGTTTCGATCATAATCTCTAAATAAAGAGATGCTAACCATGTAATAGTTTGTGAACGAGCCTCCCTTTTGAATGAACCGGGCAACTGCAAAGGCCAAATCTTGAACGGGTCGATGAGGAAGAGGTCCACCGAAATCCGAGAACCTATAACCGATAGTTTTCGAATAATTAAACAAGAGTTCACGATCCATAGAGGCATCGAACATGATTTTTAACTTTAAAATAAATAAATAAACCGTTGAAATCACACGTAGACGATATTTGGGAACCATAAGTTAGTTTATAAGCTAACTTGTTTTTGAGAGCTTATTGAAAGGCCCATAATAAGTTAGGGGCCGTTTACCAAACACTTACCCTGTAAGTGCTTATCGGTAAAATTTAACACTATTATTTACTTAAAGGGTAAGATTTTAGTCCACCAAAACGACATCATATGCAACAATTAACCCGGTAAACGCTTACATTTTTTGTACTTATGGTTTGTTAAAAATTGTGATTTTCATTTTTATGGTTTTGAAGTTGCAATTTTTGTCCCTATGGTTTGCAATTCATTTACTTTCGTCCCTAGAGTTATCTTACCTTTAAGTATAAGGGACAAAAACATCAATGAATTGTAAATCACAAGGACTAAAGAGCAATAAATTTTAAATCATAAGAACGAAAATAACATTAAACTCTAAATCATAAGGATGAAAATCTTAATTTAAAAAACATAAGAACGAAAATAGCAATTTTCAACAAACCACAAGGACTAAAAACGTAATTTACTATGTTTTCCATTTCTGTTCCACTTTTAACCCTGGTTTTCTTTGTATTTACAATACTTACCAGCCGGTCCAAGCCTCTGTCCACATTGTAGGTTTGGTTTCTTTGTTATTCGGAGAGAAATAATCACAATAGAATCCATTGCAAGTATTTATCTGTCACAAGATCCAACAAACCACAAATCTTTATCAGCAAATCATAAGGGTGGTGCTTGATTGGTTTGAGCTTGGACTCCAAAGATTAAAAATATCTGGAGATCTCAGATTCAAATCCAAAGAGGAATAAAAATCTTTTTGTGGCCACGGAGATTCAAATATGGTGACTCCGGTCTACCCAAAAAGCAGGTGGTCAACCTAAAATTAGTCGGCTCATATAACGAGTTGGAAAAAGTGCATACAATGGGATCAGGAGCATCATCTTGCTTGCACATAACCCAAGGGACACCAGTGTCCAAACCAACAGCCATCTTAGCAGCCCAAGTCAAGTAAGCATGTCCAGCTGCACCAAATGCTTTGCTTTCTGCTCCATATTCATTTTCTATCTGCCCCATTTACCAAATTCACGTTAGAACCGTACTTTGGACTCAATTCCATTCATTTTATACCATTTCATCGGTTTACCACAATAAAATCGGCTTAACAGTATGTTAAATATGTTCAACAATATCTAATAGACTGCTTTATAAGATCAACCTGTATAAAAAAAGAGTTAAAATACGTATTTAGACACGGTAACTAAGTTTTTTTTAGTACATTGTTAAAATAAAGGGTCATATTAGCTATTATGGAGTGTTTGAGATTGCTTATAAAAACAACTTATTGATTTATTCCGGTGTGGTACCGGTAATAAGCATTTTTGAGTGTTTGGATAAACAACTTATACCGGTGTCAAACCGGTAATAAGAAGTTTTTGAAGATTTTAAACCCTTCTGACTTATAATAAGTTTGATAAGTGTTTTTGTAGAAAAACATAAGTCGTTTCAAATAAGCAATCCCACGCACCCCCTTAATATGACATTTTTGAAAGTTACGTATGAACATGTTTTTTTTTATAAATACATGTGTTTTTATATAAAATACTTTTTCAAATAATGTCATATAAAAATATGTGTTCATAAAAAGCTTTATATAAGAAATGATCTAAAAGAATTGTTATGGCAACCCGAAAAATCTTATTAGATTATTGTAACACGTTTACATAGGACAAAAAATTGTTTGATCTTGTAAACTGAAAGCAGTATATTATGACATTTAGACATATTTGACCTTCACAAATTAAAGTCGATAAAAGATAGTAACCTGAGAGAGGATGATTGGGCCACCTTGAGACTCGAACAACTTCTCATTCTTCATCATTTGCACTATTTTTGTGGTGAATTTTTGCATTGCCATCTGTATTAATCACAAATAAACAATGTCAACAACATGGTCTAATTTTAGGTGCATCAAAGACTTTTGGGCTTTATTCTTCTTGAATCTAAATGCAATCTTTCGATCCACGGGCTCAAACCCACACGGTGTTCCGGTTATAGGATCGTAATTTTCATGGGTTTTCCAAGACTCGGATCGTCTTCAATCCTTTGCACTGTTTCTTGAACCAAACGGGTATAAAGTTTGGTGTAAACAGTAATTCATTTTTATCCTTTACATCGTTTTTTTAACATAAGATGGAATATTCCAAATATATTTTTTATTGTTGATTTCTATACATTTTCGATTAATACACTTGTATCTATTACTTCCTCTGTCCCAAAATAAGTATTCATATTTTTATTTATTATAAAATAATTGTCTACTTTGGAATGTAATACTTTCCAATTCTATCGTTAACCGTGAGATGAAAAATATTTCATAAATCTTCGGTTATTAAGTGTAAAAATAACATTTAGTGGCCATTTACAAAACGCTTACCCGGTAGGTGCTTACCGCATAATTTTCCTCATTGGAAGAATATGGCAAGACCCAAGAATCTTACCTGGTAAGATAAGGATAGAGAGTCTTACCGGGTAAGTAAGTGTGACGACACTTACCCGGGTAATCGCTTACCATATATATTGTTGCACACGATACCATTTTGATATACTACAATCTTACCTAAAAAATAAATTATAGTGTTGACTCCTAACGGTAAGCGCTTACCGGGTAAGCATTTAGGTAAACAACCTACTTAATGAAAAAATATGACATTAATTACCCATTTATAAAAACCATGTTATCTTTTTCGTCGGTTTTTATTTATTTTAAAACCAAACAAATAACTTTTTTTGTTATAATAATTTTATAAATTCATAGCATAAAATTGTAACCAAAATGAATTGTTTGTAATACAATTGAAATATAAAAAAAAGAAATTTATTATATATCATAAATTAGTATAAATATGAAAAACCAAATAAGCTAAAATTACAAAAATATAAAATTTAAAAAACCATTTTATAATAAAAATATTCGGTCACCAAATGAACAATAAAACACGAAATTTAGTATTATACTATTCACCTCACACTAAAAGAACCGTAAAAATTGGTATTGGGTAGAAGTGAAAAGGTATAAAACATGAGATCTGGTGTTGGGTTTGGATAACAGTATCCGAACCCAACACCAGATCCCATTAAATCCATCTTTTCAGAGTACGAATCCTACAACTTAATAAAACAGAGGAATATGCAGAAGAGGAGAGAGAGAGACCTTAAAAGGTTCGTTATCAGTTCTGAAGCTGATCCCAGGAACATACTTCAACCAAACCGGAAAACCCCTTTTAAGAAAAAAATCAAATTTTCAATATAATTAACATTAAAATCACCAAAAAAAAAAAAATACAAAAATCCAATAATTTGTTAATAAAATTACCCAAAATTCCACTCTGCACAAACAAATGGTCCAATGCGAAGATGCATATACATCCCAGCTTTCTGAACCATCTTCACAAACCGAACCAAATCATATCTTCCTTCAAAATTAAACTGTAAAATCCACCAACACATAATTATTATTACACTAATTAATAATCATAAAGATATATTTTTTTATTAACTCGGATATCCAACCCGTTATGCCAGCCGACTAATCCATGACGACCATCTGCTTTGCAGATAGATAGCCCAAAGTCACCGTATTTGAACCTCCGTGGCCACAAGAGGATTTTTATTCCTACTACTTAGATTTGAACCTGGGACCTCTGGTACTTTTGACCTTTGGAGCCAAGCTCAAACCAATCATGCACCATCCTTTTATGAATTTAAAAAAAAGAAGAAGAAGAAGAGAGTAGATAACATACATTGCCAGGAGAAGGTTCATGGCCATTCCAGAAGACGTATGTATCAATCACATCTAAACCTCCATCTTTGGCTTTTTGAATCAGATCTTCCCACATCTGAATGAAGATTGAATTGGGTTTTTAGCAGTAAATTTGTGGAAAAAAGAGGATGAAATAAGGGGGAGAACATACATCAGGGGTACTTCTTGGATAATGAATAGAACCAGAGAAGAGGAGTCGTCGTTGGCCATTGATGATCAGAGATTTCTTGTCGTAGATGACACTGCATTGAGTGAGCTTAATGCACAACAGTAATGAAGTCAAGAGTAGAGAAACCCATTTGGAAGCTGAGATAGCTGCCATTTCTTCCTAAAATCACACCCAGAGAAACTGATATCTGATATATATATATATATATATATGTGTGTGTGTGTGTATGTATATGTCTATTTATTACACATATATATTTGGTCTTACATTTTTTTAACGGCGATTTTGTTAACAAAAAAAAAACCTTTACTTTTTCTTTTGTTAATTAAAGGACTGTTTGGTAATTGCTAAATGGTTTGATATAAAATGATTAAGAGGTTCTTATGATATAGTACAAAATGAAATATAATTGTTTGGTAATTATTTACAATGAAATTAGGGCGCTTAGTGGTTAAGGAAGGGTCAGGATAAAAGATCATTCAGATGGTTTTAGAACTATTAAGAGACAGACTTATTTTTACCAAATAAGATTTACCTCTTAACGATTTAGAGGTTGTCTCTTAATGGAACTATTAAGAGGTTGTCTCTTAATGGAACTATTAAGAGGTAAACAAACAACCCCTTACAATGGACCATATTTTTTAACGCAAGTACCTACTTTGCGGGTAGCTTGGAGTTACAACATTTGAACATTCGTGGCCATAAGGGGATTTTTTATTTCTTCTTGGATTTGAACTTGGGACCTACAGACACTTTTGACCTTTGGAATTCAAACTCAAACCAATCAGACATGTGGTTGCAATGAACTTTATAATACCTTCAACAAAGTTTCTATAACTTTTTTAAAATAAACAAATAGAAATTAAAATCTCTAATATAAATCATATTTAATTTCAACAGATTCTTTAATTTTATGATTTCAATACATTTTTAAAAGGAAAAACTTTATATAAAATTATATTAATTCAATCTTATTGTTGGAATGAATAAGAAAAAACTCAAATCACTCTTATTTAGCAAAAGTTTTAGACAATTCTGTAAATGATTCTAAAACCCTCTGTATGATTTTGTATCATGAGTCTCCCTTAATCATTAAGCGCCATGATTTCAATGTAAACAACTACCAAACAATTATATTTCATTTTGCACTATATCATGAAAGTTTCTTAATTATTCTGCACCAAACCATTTAGCAACTGTCAAACAACCCCTAAAATATTTCTAAAAACAATATTTCTCCATTTTGAAGATTGAAACACTGATTATACTATCAAAATATTTCATTTATGGGATTGTCGATAATCAGCTTTTTTTCATCAAATACAATTAAAAGCTATTTTTATGTAAATCAAACATATGGTTTTTCTATGGAAATTCACATGGAAACACTACGATTTTAGCTTTGTGGCTAAGAAAAAAATGAAATTAGAGATTTAATGTTTTTGATACTTAGCGTGAAGCAATGAAAGTGCTAAAAAGGAGGTGGGGAAGAAAAAAGTATTTATGATGCGATAAATTATGTGGTTTTATTAAACCACCCTGATTGGTTTGAGTTTGACTCTAAAGGTCAAAAGTATCAGGAGGTCACAGGTTCAAAACCAAGGAGGAATAAAAATCCCCTTGTGGCCATGGAGGTTAAAATGCGGTGACTCCAAGCTATCTGCAAAGCAGGTGGTCGCCCTGGGATTAGTCGGCTCGCATAGCGGATTGGATATCCAGGTTAACAAAAAAAAATGGGGTTTTATGGTGTTGATATTCATGATTATTATGAGAGAGTTAAATAATGTATCTCGTGGCAGGTAGATGGTGTATGGAGTCAAAAACACGACTCATTTTTTTTCCGAAATTACTTTATTTTGTGATGTTTGGTACAAAAATTCATGACTCAAAAGTTATCACATCAAATTGTGTGAAATCCGAATAACAACTGCCAAAAGGCGTGTGGCTAAATTTAGACTTGTACGGAAGACAAATGACCGCTAACATATGACACGAAAAGCAATCTAAACATGTGCGGTATTTGCGTAAAACTAGAAAAGTAACTATTTGAAGTCATAAAGGCTTAAGACTTGTATGAATAAGAAACTACTATCGAAAGGTGCAAAAAACCGTTTAAACAAGAAAATGCCACTTTTAGAAGACGTAAGAAATGACGTGTTTGTATGGAACCTATGATTTCACACGTAGGTTCGTATTTGTACAAAACCCAAATAACCACATCCAAGAAGCATAAAAACACATACTTAAATCAAAATCGTTCACCCATATCCAAATGACCATAACTTAGACCGTGACATACTGGTTAACCCTCAGGGTAATATAATGAAAAATCTCTTCTCCACCATATTCGAATCCTCTGTCAAAACCCCTTTTTTGTTAACCTGGATATCCAACCCGCTATGATTTGCAGATAGTCTGGAGTCACAACATTTGAACCTTTATGGCCACAAGGGGATTTTGTTCCTCCTTGTATTTGAACATGGGACCTCCTGACAATTTTGACCTTTAGAGCCAAGCTCAAACCAATCATGCACCACCCTTATGACCATCTAGGAGCACATGCGGTGACTCAAGACCATTCGTGGTCCTCTGAGATCAATCAGTGCACGTAAACTGTCTCATAAACCCCTCGTTATCCAAAAAAACATCAAATACGATATCTGGATCTCACACTGTTATAAAATCTAAATGACCAGACCAAAAGACATAATCTATAATCAATCATAGAAAACCCAGAAAGTATACATTAAAAAACAACAAATCAGATTAAATTATTAAGTGTTACGTATAAACAACTCAATCTTTTTCAGTATCTAAGTAACCAACCAAACCACACAAGACCTAATCAACAAAAAGATTTTCTTGGGTTCGTAAATTAGTTGAATTTTCTACCAACCCCACATAATTACACCGACATTTAAATACCAATAAATTACTAAATTTAATAATAACACCATTAATAATTAATAAAGTAAATTGACAACTGTTAAGAAAAGTAAAAAAGGCCACATTCATTGGATGCTTTTTTTAATTGGCTCAAATATAATCAATTTTGTTTTAAATCTTATTTATTGTAACTAGTTATGGCATGCAATGTGGCGGAAGTCGTAAATTTTAACGATTTTTGAAGTTTCACTGGTTTTATTAGAGAAGATTTAACGATATAAGTTACACTTGGTCTTTAGATATTAAAACAATTTCAATAAATAAGAGTTATGGTTCCAATTACAGTCTATCGATGAAAAAAATTGTATGACAGTTTAAAATTCAATATATTTAAAATCCAATATGTTTAAACGACTCCATAAATGTGTTCGATTTACACCAAGAGCAAAGAATCAAGAGATCGAGATCGAGACCGAGACCGAGAGTTCTAGAGCAATTGAATGGGAGATTAATGAGAGAACTTTTAATAATTCATGGTGAATATCAGTTTGAATCCATCTTGGGGGATGAGAAGGTGAAATATGAGTGAAAGATGTAAAAAGTATCATGGGAACATGAAAAGAAAAAAGTAATAATGTGCATTGGTAACTTGTACTATATATTATTTTAATTGTAGATTAAGAGATTTTAAGACTGAATGCATAAAGTAGTAGTACTTGATGCATTACGAGTTGTTTTTAAGACTTTGTGCATAAATATGTAGTATTTTGTGCATTAAAAATTATTTTCAATACTTTTGATAAATCTGGTTTATAAGGTAGTATAGATACAAAAAAATCTCAATTAATGTAATAAATTTTTTAAAATTTATTATTTAATGCAACAAAATTTTCAGACAGTTTCATATTTTGTATCAATTTTAGACCTATAACCTACTGATTCTGTAGAATCTGATCACATGTATGTCAAGTTTATCATCTATTTTAACCAGATATTTACCAATTTTTTTGACATATAACCTACTGATTCTGTAGGATTTGATGACATGTATGTCAAGTTTATCATCTATTTTAAATGGATATTTACCAATTTTTTTACCTATAACCTACTAATTCTGCAAAAATATTTCGTAAACTTTTTCTAAATCAATATTTATATCATCAAATATTACAAGATCAAGAGATTATCGGTTAAAATACGTATGAAACATAAAACATTAAAATTTTATTATATTGATTTGAAAAAAAAATCATTATATTTTGATGTATTTTTTCGTTTTCAAAATTTTAACTGAAAGCTATTTTTATTGGATTTTTTTTATTAACCTTGATATCCAATCAGCTATGCGAGCTGACTAATCCCAAGACGACCACCTACTTTGCAGATAGCTCGGAGTCACCGCATTTGAACCTCCGTGGCCACAAGGGGATTTTTTATTTCTCCTTGGATTTGAACTTGGGACCTCCTGATATTTTTGACCTTTCAAAGCCAAGCTCAAACCACTCAGACACCACTCTTATGGTTTCTATTGGGTTTTTTACATGCAGTAACATTAAATTTACTTTTTTACATTTTCTTTATTAAAATTTAACATAAAGTTTAAATTACAACACCCTTTTCTCAACTGTTATATGGTTGGGGAAATTAACTATTTTTCAGTAACTATTATTTAAATCAAAAAAATCACATGGTGTGGGTAAATATTTCTATTTTATATATAAAAAAATATTAAAAAATAGTATTTTAATTAATAACTAAATTTTAAAAAGTTGGAAATTGAATTTAATTAGAATTTGATACTTCTTCTGACATGGAAGTCCTAATAAATTGCCATTAATCACATTATAAGGTGCACACAACTAGAGGCAGTAAAATGGTGTCTGTCACATGGGTTTTCTGTTTTTTAAATACCAGTTTGTTTGTTTACCTCTTAAATAGTTTTATTAAGAGACAACTTTTAAATCCTTAAGAGGTGAATCTTGTTTAGTAAAAAAAATGTTTCTTAATGATTTTAAAACCCTTTGAATGATTTTTTATCTTGTGTCTCTCTTAACCATTCAGCGTCTTAATTTCATTGTAAATAATTACCAAAAAACATATTAACGGAATCTGGAAGGTGAAACCAACCGGTAAAAATAACTGTTTTAATTAATTTTTTATTTTAAATTTTATAAACTTAATTGAATAAAAAATAAAATATTATTAAAAATAAATGGTGGAAACAAATGAGAGATGGTAAGGTGTGCGTGCGTACTTGTGGTCAAATTTGTATGTACCTTTGTATCAT